CCCTTTAAATACATTTTCGAGTAGTACGATTTAATTTATTAGACTATTTCAAATGGTTGCTTCCAACTTCTTAAATTCGAGCCATTTGTTAACGAAACAACAGTTGAAGTGATTGTTGACAAAATGAATCAATGTTTTATGTTAACGTTTATTTTTACGTTATCAAAATTCACCGGAAAAGGTTTTCAATACTTAGATATTAAAGCAATTTTGAATTTATTTTAATTACCAAGTATACAGAAATATCAATATTTTCTTTTTGAAGCATCCAATCTTGGTGTAGTTAAAGCTCGGGAGATTGCTAATGGACCTTTTACTGGATTCAATTTATTGAAAACCAAAAAAACAGATATTTTTGAAGAAATTAAATCTTTATCTATTTTAGTGTTAATATACCTGTTTTGGACTATAAAAGACAAGAATACCTTTATATTAATATTCACCCATTTGTGAAAGATAAATACAAAGGTATTAATTGCCCCAAGCCAGCGTAAAATGTAATTAAATAGTTTTTATACTAAATAAAAAATGTTAGATGTCATGATTAACTTTTATTTTTCCTAATCTTAATTATTTTGACAGTTAAAATAACACATAAGAAACACAATAATATTCCACCTATTCAATAAACTTTCTCTCTTTTATTAAGTTTATTAAGTTGGCTTTCTAATTGAGCCTTAGGAATTTTATTCCATTTTCTATAATAAGCCTCAGGATCTCTTATTTTTTCTGCAACTCTCTCATCTTCCATAGTGCCTAAAAATTGATTGTTTTTTTTGGGTCTGAATTGCCTTCATCATTTTTGCAACGTGAATCTAGGAAAAAACAATATCGAAATTCTAAGAGTTATTATCTACATCTCCTCAACTTTTGTTTATAATGACAACAATAATAATAGACATTGACACTTCAAGTAGAGTGTCCACAACGAGATTAGATGACGGAGAGTGTGTAGATTTCCAATACAGAAAATCTACTTGAAGATAGATATACAATTGAACATTATTATGTTGTTGCAGGAAAGTATGTATTTCACGAATTCGCAAAGCTCATATTGCGTACACTTGTTTATAGCATGTTACTATAATATTGTAAAATTAGCATATAAACCTTTTTTCGTCATTGACCAATACTTGTTTATAATATTTCAAACCATGAAAAACATTTTTTATTACGGATATTGTTAAAACCCTCCAACCAGGTTTAATTTGTAATTGAAGTATCTTCAAAATTTTCGAAAATTTTATATATCAATTAGTGTTGGTTGCCAAAACTATTTTGAAGAGGCGAAAGTCAAAACTAAAATTAAAAGTTATATGTCAAAACTAAATCAAAAGTCAATAGTCAAAAATCAAAACTAGTTTCGACTTATGGCGAAATCTTTTGACTTTCGCATGGTTGCGAAACTCTCTAATTTTGGAAACCAACACTAATATCGATCAATGTTTAATATAAATTTTTTTATTTTGCTAAATCATAAATAAATTATAATTAGAGTGAGGATATATAAAATAAAATAAAACAGAAGTATGCTTTAAAAAAAATTGTAAAAGCACACGAAGATTCAATTATTAAAATCGGAATCATCCGAGAATTTTTTAACCTCCTCATCTTTTTCAAACATTATACGATCATTTTTTGAATTGTCAAATAAATATCCCATTTTTTTATTAATGGATCCACATGATAGTCCCTCGCCAACAATTATATCTGGTTCTTCCACTACCACTCCACCAACAATAGGTCTTCCGCCCGTGCCACCATGTTTACTAGTAATCAACCATTTTTTATCAGTTTCTGTCAATTTGCTAATTTGAATTAAGGATTCTCCAGTTGCAAAATCAAAACAATCTTTAGGTCCAAATCCTACTGCCCAACGAATCTAATTAAAAATTAAAACAGATATATATATAAAGTATACTTTTTATCTCTATCTATTTATATTTGGTTTTATGATTTACCTTCATCTTTGTTCTTATATTACTAACTGCGCGGGCTGCTCCTGCACGTGTATCCATTTTTATAAATGCATGATTTTTATCATAATTAATCTAATTTAATGTCAAAAATTTTCATTTATAAATTTAATTTTTTTTTTTAAAAAAAAAAATTATATGTATATTCATACTGTAACACTTGCGACAGAACCAAATTTTTTAAACATTTCTTGCATAACATCTTTAGGCATATCTTCTGAAACACTACCAACATAAAGTGTCCGACTTACAACTATTTTAATTTTAACAAAACTAAAATTAGTATATAAAAAATTTTTATTTTTTATATTCATTACCTTTGATATATTTCATTCCAACACTTTGATCTTCATATACAAGACATATGTCTTGTGGTATTGGTGTTTGTTGTGGAGATGATTGATATGTTACTGTTTGAGTAACTGGAGCAATTGGAGTAAATGTTGAAATTTGAGAAGTTGGTTGAATTGATCCTGCTATTAATGGAACACCTGAGGGAGATAGTTGACCAGGCTGCTGTTGAGGTGGATTAGGACCAGCAGCACCAGTAATATTACTCGTAGCAGAAGCATTAGTAGCAGCGGGTGGTGGTAATGAATAAACAGGTTGTGATACTGGTGGGACAGATGTTGGTGGACCATTATATCCAAGAGGTGTTATAAAAGGAACATTTGGTTGTTGTGAAGAATTTGAGTTCCATGGTGCAGGTTGCATAAGATTTTGTTGAGCACCATTATTATTCCAAGGCATAGCATGAAATTGTTGTGGTGGAACATTTGTTTGTAATTGTGATGGTTGACCAATTGGTGATGTCCAAGGTTGTAATGGATTAAAAGGAAATGATGGACTAGGTTGTTGAATATTACCTGGTGAGATTTGTTGATGTTGATTTTTATGTGGTCTAGTTATTAGTTGATTAGGATCTGATGGAGTTTGTTTTGTGGTAATATCTTTTTTGTGTTGTTGATTTGATGGTGTACTATCATCATAATCAAACTCTAAAGGATTATTTGGTTCTGGCATATTTCTATCATTGCTGCCACTGCTATTATCATTAGTTGTTGTTGAATATTTGGAATTTTGAACAGTTGGTGAGTGTACATAGTTATTATTATTTGTTGATAATGGTGTAATATTTGCAGTGTATGATGTGATAGGTAATTCTGGTTGTTGTTGCTGTAGAATTTGATGAGGCGGAGGAATTGGATGAGGAGGTTGATTGGAGTTGACAGGAACATTATTGAAAGGTGTTGGTGCATTAGGTTGCATTGATGTATTTGATATTATTGGGTTAGATGATAGAAAAGAGGGTATGTTTAAAGTTCCCTGTGTAAGATTATTTAAAGTGGCCAATAATGCTGAGGAATCCATTGTTGTGGGATTCATATTTTTAGGATCTGTAGATGATGATGATGGGAGCAATAATGATGATGAAGGCAATGATGATGATATGGGATTAATTACTAATAATAATAATTATTATTATTAAAAATAAATATAATAATTGAAAATTTTAGATTTTTTTCCAACTGTAAATGTTCATTATAATTTTCCTTTTTTTTTTTTAATAAAATAATATACATATTGTTCAATCCAAAGTTATAAACAATGAAAATAATAAACTAAGGTATATGATTAAAATTGTCTTTTTTCCTTTATATTTAACTGACCATTATTAGAAGAAGAAACAATTACTGATTTTGTCTCATTAACACTGTTAACCAATTGAGTGATCAGAGTGATTTGATTAAAATAGATGTCTTTTATCCTTTGAATAACCTCATTGTTATAAACTTCTTTGTCATACCATAGGTCAAGCACACGCTCCACTTTGTCCTGTAAAAAAGTTTTTTTTATTATATGTACGAGTTTTTAATTAATAAATATTTATTATATTCAAAAGATCACAGAGTTATCATATTCATTATTGAAATTATTGTATAATATTTAATAGGAATAATTAAATCACACATAGCATGTAAATTGTTAAATTGTTTTCCTTAATCTTCCAAAAAAATTTTTTATAAATAAAGATTTGAATTATTAATATCTGAATATACATCTACTATAATCAAGTGTTATTCTTCCTAATATTGATTAAAAATTATTTCATCTTGATAATGATAATAATAAATTATAAACTTTCTCTGGTGTTGACGAATCACAATTATTGATGACTCTTTCTCTCTCCCAATCACTCAACATTTAAATAGATAAAAAGGTTTTATCTATCAAAAAGCTTCCCTTGTATTGTTATTATTATTATTACTTTATCATTGTCTTGACCCCCCTGGATCTTTCTTTCTCGCTCATAAATAACAATAATAACCAACCAATTACAATAAATAATAATAATAATGGTAATGATTTATTAAAAGACTCATACCTTATCATGTTCTGGACATTGCATTATATGGGTGAACATTTCCTCCAATAGTTTCTCAAATCTATCAAGATATTCTATGCCTGTCCATGATGGTGAAGATGATTGAGATGTGTTTGTGTTTGATGAGATGTCATCAACTTTTTTTGACATTACCAATACCTTTTTTTTGAGAGCTGATTGTGATATTGAATCTAACACATATAATGCTCCCAATTTGTAATCAGATGGACATCTTTGAATGAATTTTTGTATACTGTATACAATATTTTTGTATTGCTATATATTATTAAAAATTAATATTTTTTTTAAAAAAAAAAAAAAGAAAAGAAAAATAAATTAATCAATGTTCTTTCCCTTAAATATATTTATGAATTGATTAATATAATTAATTAAAATTTAAAATACATCTGATTTTGATGAATGAATTTGTCAATGTTTTTCATCATTTAAATAACATATTTTTTCATACCTTTGGGGTATTAAGAGCTATTTTAGTTAGGTCTTTTATTTTTGAAGCACTAGTCCCAGGCGGTTTTCTTTCAAGTAGTTCATTTAGTTTTTTATCAAATTCAGGAAATTCTTTGGTCGTTATTTTTGTCATTTTGTCTGAATGCTAAATCAAATAGGTAAGAATTTAAAACAATAAGATTTTTTTAAAATTATATATATATAATCAAAGACGAAAAAATAGTAGTTTTATTTTTTTATTTTTGTATTACAATGTCATGCATACATTATAAAATTTTATTATTAGACAATTATTATTTTTATTATTAATAGCCCATCATTTTTTGTATCATAATTTTTTGTTGTTATGATTACTTCTTCCATATGAAAAGCTTCAGCTGAAGTTGATTGGGCAATTCTTTAGTTTACATAGTCTCTGTATCATTGCTAATATCAAGACCAAGTGATAACTATTGATATTTATAGATGATATGAATATATCTTTTGGAATTTTCAACCATGCATCATGAGTCAATTGGAGAAGAAGATTAATGCGCCATGGTTTAGGTTTTTGTGCAAATTTTTTCTTTTCAAATACAGTGCAAAACAGTTTTTTGAAGAAATCATAATGTATATGAATAACATTTTCTCTTGAATTTAAAGTAACATGCAGTGGATTCAACATTGGAACAATATTCTGAATACCTTCAAAATCACTTAATTGATAATTCATATACAATGTAATAGCCTTTCTAATAAAAAGTTGTCCTGGAAAATCAGCTATTACTGGTATTACATAAATTTTAATAAACTCTAATAATCCATCTATATTTGTTATCATTTTAATTGGCTAATAAATAATCTCTTAAGGAACAAAGGCTTTGTTGTTTTATATCAATTAATTTTATTGATTCCATAGATCTTTTTTCTTTTTTTCCTTCAATATCTGCATCATATATATGAACTGTTGAAAGTTCAACACAATCAAAAATTTTATCATCAAGAATTTTATTATTAATCCACTATGATTTTATATCATTGTGACTTATATCAAAAATCCCCATATATTCATTAATTAGTTAGTGTTAATTAATGAATCATCAATATTTTTAGGATTTATAATAGGTATATTATTAAATTTAGCAGGAACTGCAAGAACATTCTCAATTTTTTTAGCAACACATGTTGCCATATGTGTTTCTGAAGATAATGATGCCGAATCAGGTTTTCTCCACCCATGGATTGAATGATAATCATCAATATTAAAACAATGCATGTATTGTAAATTTTTTAAAAAATATCTTTTATCATTTTTTGATGATTTTTGGCAAATTTTTTTTTTTATATAACCTTGTATTGTTTTATAGCAAGCTGAGATACCCATGTTTGACAAAGTGTCAAGTGCCGCAGCATTTGTTCCATGTGCTTCTAGATAGAGCCCAAGATCCAGTTTAAAATTATTCACAAATTTATTTCTTATACTGGCTAAAAGGTAGCAATAACCTACAATAGCCTTTTTTGTTGATTCCTTATTTAAATGAGAATGATTTTTTTGAATGATATTTATTAGTTCATCAAAAAATCCTATTAATTTTGGTTCCTTAATCTACAAAAATTTGCAGGATCCAACACAATGTCATTTTGAATTTTCTTTGTTATTCATAAGAACATTTGTTAATGATTCTATTTTATCAACAAATGATAATGTACCTATAAATAGAAAATACAATCAATACAAGTAACACAATTTAATGATAAAAAATAACATAATTACTATACCCACTTTTTTCTGATTGTTGTTGAACTGTTAAATAAACATTACTAACATCAATTAAGTTCTCAATTTCTTTGATTTGATTACTTTTTTTTCAATTGTTGATTCTAAATTTTCAATTTTTGAAATTAATGAACCAAAGTATTCCTTTGATGGAAGAACACCATTTTCAGTAACATTTATTTTTATATTATCATTATTTTTGGAAATTTCTTCATAGATTTTATTGCTTCTTAATTTTTTCTTGTTAAACTCTACATATTTCATATAATGAATATGACAAATTTGATTTTTTTTTAAAAAAAATAATTCATGCTTCCACAATCTGGGCTTTGTTGTGATTTATTAAGTGCAAGACCTGTCATAGTCTTAAATTTAACCTCAGTATTTTTGCAATTAATAATTATGCAAGGACCATGATTTTCATCATTTTTTATATTAATAATGATTAATAGGAAAGAATTGTAGCTGTTTTTTAAATATTATATATAAGAATTTTTATTTGAATTTTTGAATTTACATGAATTAATTTCCTATGAAATTTAAAATGAATTATCCTTAAAGTGTTGAATGAGATAAAGAATTACACGAATTTGTGTTACTTGGAATCTAAATTTTGGTGATTCTTTAACAAATGATTGGTGCATTTGCTTTTGATAACCATTATTGAAATAATGTTTCTGTTCATTAATACTCCCACCCTGAAAATTATTTGCATCCCGCAACTTACTGCGCCACGGCGACGAATTTTGGGAAAAAATTTCCAATCAAAAATGCAATAAAATTTGTTTTGTCATGTGATATTTCCTAGTCATTCCATAAATAGTAAAATCGGCAATAAGAATAAACATTGGGTTACCTAATATGGATGTGATCATCAACTAAAAATTCAAAAACTTTTATTTTGTTTCGATTTGTTCATTTTTATATATATACCATCAGGATGTGCAGTCAGATTAACCAAAGAAAATTTTGAGAATTCAGGCTCCAAATATCTATAATCAATAAAAAGTTTCATGCTGGATCGTTTCCAGAGCAGTTTTCATGAGAGAGAAAAATCTTCAATGGTTAAATTGCTTCGACACTTCTTGTAATTGTTTTAACGTTAATAATGATCATGCAAAACAAATATACCAATCGTTTGTTTATTATCATGATAAAGAATCTTATAATAATTACCTATCACTATGCGATGTAAAAGACATGATAAATATGCTCAACGTTTATGTAAGATGCTTGCACCATATTTTACACGTATATTATGGCTAAAATTTATTCAATACTCAAAATTAATTACGAATCGTTAATCATTCGAATAAACATTATTCGAATAGAAACCCTGATTCTTTGTTGCTATTACTGACCTATCGGTATAGTTTTCGGTGTCCTGTCTAGTGATAACTGTTATAAATTTTTTAGGAACCATGCCCATTTTGCATAATAAAATTTCGAGATATATTCAAAATCAATAGTAAAATACAGATCTTTTTTTCAAATCATTTCCTCGCTTCTATTGAAAAACCACATATAATAAACAACTGTTCCATCACATTTTCATAACAGTCTTTATGTTACCTGCGCCATATCATTGTATCTAACATCCCAATCAGTGATGGTATTTACTCCAGGGGTACTGTCGCGATAGGTTTGGATAAACTCTTTCCTAGAGCTCCCCGACATGGTTTCAGGGCAAGATTAAAAATATATTCTGAAAACCTCAATTCAGGACAACTAGAAAAAAGACTTGTTCTACCTATAGTACCAATAAAATCATTTTATTGTTATTATTATTATTATTATTATTATTTATTTCCTCTGATCTAATAAAATATAAAATACATATTAATTAATTAAATACATAATAAAAATACAAATATATAAATATATGAAATTATGATAAATAAATAAGCTTATAAATTAATTATAAAACGATAAATGAATAGGTTAAATATTATTGTAATTCTTATAATTATATTTCCGCCGGTAATTCCATTAGCAATTGCATTTCAAATTTGATTACCTATCTATATCCTCTATTAAAGATAAATCATCATAGTAATAATGTCTTGATTATTATCAACAAATTATTTATAATTAATCATCGCCTTCCTTTTCATCGCCATCATTACTTTTAATTTCAACGGGTAATTCTATGTCAAATTGATTATCAATATCTTCTACATAAAGACACATATAGAGGAAAACAACATGTTATTATTATTATTATTATTATTGAATGAATAATTATTACAACTACTAGTAATAGACTATTAATTAATAAATTTACTAACCTGGGGGTTTATCATCCTCATCAACTCGTTTTTCATCACCATCATTACTTTTGATTTCAACGGGTAATTCTATGTCAAATTGATTATCAATATCTTCTACATAAAGACACATATATAGAAAAACAACATGTTATTGTTATTATTATTATTGAATGAAATAATTATTACAACTACTAACCTGGGGGTTTATCATCCTCATCAACTCGTTTTTCATCACCATCATTACTTTTGATTTCAACAGGTAATTCTATGTCAAATTGATTATCAATATCTTCTACATAAAGACACATATATAGAAAAACAACATGTTATTATTATTATTATTGAATGAAATAATTATTACAACTACTAGTAATGGACTATTAATTAATAAATTTACTAACCTGGGGGGTTATCATCCTCAACAACTCGTTTTTCATCGCCATCATTACTTTTGATTTCAACGGGTAATTCTATGTCAAATTGATTATCAATATCTTCTACATAAAGACACATATATAGAAAAACAACGTGTTATTATTTTTATATTATTATTGAACGAATAATTATTACAACTACTAGTAATGGACTATTAATTAATAAATTTACTAACCTGGGGGTTTATCATCCTCATCAACTCGTTTTTCATCACCATCATTACTTTTGATTTCAACAGGTAATTCTATGTCAAATTGATTATCAATATCTTCTACATAAAGACACATATATAGAAAAACAACATGTTATTATTATTATTATTGAATGAAATAATTATTACACCTACTAGTAATGGACTATTAATTAATAAATTTACTAACCTGGGGGTTTATCATCCTCAACAACTCGTTTTTCATCGCCACCATTACTTTTGATTTCAACGGGTAATTCTATTGAAAATTGATCAAAAAAAAAATTTTTTTTAACTAAAATAAAAATCAATCCTTTTTTTTTTTTAATAAATAAATAATATATTTTACCTGGAGGCTCATTGTCATCAATATTATCAGGCAACTTAATTGAAAATTGATTATCAATATCCTCTAAAATAAAAAAAGTGCACATATATATAATTGTTTGTATTAAATTTACTATTTTAATTATAATTAATTAACTCATTTACCTGGTGGTTCCTCATCAACATCATTATCCTTAACTTTATCAGCCTCTATTTTTTTTTTCCAAAAAAATTTTATTAAAATTATTATCAAATTTAATTTTACATAAATAATCTTGTATCAACCAGATAACTTAATATCGTCTTCATTACCCTCGTCATTTTTAATTTCATTAGGTAATTCTATTCCAAATTGATTGTCAAGATCCTCTTAATTATAAAAAAAAAATAAAAATGAATGTTAAATATTTTATTGAAAATTATTATATATATTCCTTCGTGATTTAATAAGTTTATATTAAATTTGCTATTTTAATTATAACTCATTGACTTGTTTACCTGGTGGTTCGTCATTACCATCATTATCCTTAACTTTATCTTTTTCAAAAAAAATTTTATTAAAATTATTAACAAATTAATTTTACATAAATAATCTTGCACCAACCTAGTAGCTTATCATCACCTTCATTGCCCTCGGCACTTTTAATTTCATTAGGTAACTCTATTCCAAATTGATTATCAAGATCCTCTTAATTATAAAAAATAAATAAAATGTGTGTTAAATATTTTATTGAAAATTATTATATATATTCCTTCGTAATTCTCACCTTTAATTTCGTTAGGCAATTCCATTCCGAATTGATTGTCAAGATCCTCTAATTAAATCCGATAAAATAATAACATAAATAATAATATTAAAAACAAAGGAATCCTTATAAAGCAATTTATTTCCACCTGGTGGTTTATCAACTTCTTCTTTGACAACATCTTGAGTATCGTTTTGGTTGCATGATTTACACTGCCCTTTTGATGTATTATATCTATTACAAATTGCACAAGTACCATATTCTTGTCTTCTTTCATCACTATAAATATCTTCTTTTGTTATAGATAAATTCACATCGTTTGTTGTTGTTGTTGTTGTCACTGGAGTTGTCGTTGGATTCACTACCATTGCTGGAGTTGTTAATGGACTTTGGTTTTGTAATGGTTTATCCGAGTTAATTATATTATTAAGGGAATCATTACTTTTCAATTCTTTATGTTCATGGTCATCGTTATTGACTCCTTTCCCACTACAACAGCTTAAAGTATTACCCATTGCTAATCTATGTTAATAAATAAATAAATAAATTCTTTTCGATACATATATGCTATTTATTTACAAATATATTTTACAAAATATATATTTTACAAATATATGTAACCACAATAGATATATTGTGTTTACGTGAAATAAAAAAAATTTCCATCTTTAGAATATATATGATAATGAGTTTTAGATAAAAGAAATGTAGGGTTAGCGATTTAGCCGATTTATCAATATTGAAAAAGAGGGCTGAAAATCTTTGACCAAAACTGGACCTTACCTCATTTGTTTTTTAGTGTTGAACAAAATAATTTATTTGGGAAGACTAGACAAAATGAAATTATTATGACGGGGCCCCGGACAATCATAGAGATTACATCTTTTAATGGTTAAAGCTCAACTCAAAAAAAACTTGAAAATTTTTAATTTTTTAAGATGATCCCTCTATTTAAAGCAATATTGTCGGTTCGTTGAAGATCACCTTTATTATAAAATTAAAATGGGGTTTTAAGGGACTATGATCTACAATAATGTTGAACCAAAAACAGTTAGAAATCTCACACGATCAAGTTGAATGGTATCATATGTTTATTATATAACTTTCTACAACGAAAGAATTAAACATTTATCGAACATTGCATTACATCAACCATTCATTATTTCTCATTACCTGCGTACATGCACTATTTCATCATCATATTCTATTTATTATACTCTAAATTTTAGTAATCTATCCTTCAAATGTCAATATCATTTATTATATATATTTAAACAGAATCTGCAACGATTAATATATATTTTCCATTTATCATGCGTTAGAACTTGTATCAAGACATAAATTCATTTTTTATGTATAGAATCAACAGAAACTTTACCAAAATATGGACTTAAAATTGATAATTTTTTGTGTTTATTTATATAAACAAAAATTATATTGGTTTTACATTATAAAAACATTATATATATATATATAGTCGTACATATATAACTCTGTCGGGAACATGATAATTCTTTTCTAAAAATGGAGGTTGTTCTTAGATGGAGTATATAAGTTTAATAATAATTTGTTTCCAATATATCTCGTGATCAATGATTGATTAATTGCACAATTATTATTATTATCATTATCATTAGAATTTGAAGAAATGCTGTTTTTTTTTCATGGCTTAAAATCATGTTTATTTTCAAACTTTAACAGATTCCTTTTACATCTAATATGTTCTATTAATCGAATTTGTATGGATAGTAACAACCTTTCTAACTCTTTTAAACAAATTTGCTAAAAAAAAATTGTAGATCGATTTATATGAACAATATTTTTTTTTTTTTTAAATTAAAAAATTTTCTTGGTATATATATAATATATTAAAAGAGTTTATAAAAAAATGGCAAAAAAAGTTGCTATCATAGGTTCAGGTGTATCAGGACTTGGAGCAGCTTGGTTATTAACAGAATATTCAACAGACTATAAGGTGACATTATACGAAGAGAATGATTATTTAGGAGGACATACACACACCGTTGACTATATAGTTCCATCAACCAAGAACTGCAAAGAGCCGATAATTACACCAGTGGACACTGGTTTCATTGTATTTAATCATGTGACATATCCTAATTTACTAAAATTCTTTGAATTGAAAAAAGTGGAATTTATTGACTCAAAAATGAGTTTTGCAATTTCCAGAAATCAAGGTGAATTTGAATGGTCAGGACGTACTCCAATCAGTGTATTTTGTCAAGCAAAAAATTTGTTGAGCCTAGAAATGTGGCAAACTATTTATGATATTGTTAGATTTAATTTTCATTCAACAGATTTGTTAGAGTTACCAGATGATCATCCGGACAAAAAAATGAGTATAGGTGAATATTTGGATATTAATAAATATTCCAAGGCTTTCAGAGACAATTATCTTTTACCAATGACAGCAGCAATCTGGTCTACCCCGCCTGATAAATGTTCATTAGATTTTCCAGCATTAACGTTAATTCAATTTATGCATAATCATTGTTTGCTTCAGATTCTTCATAGAATAAAATGGTTTACTGTGAAAAATGGAAGGTAAATTAACGTTCGTAAATAAATTAATTTATAAATCTATCTACATTAATCAACTGATTTTTTTTATAGTCACAAGTATGTTGAAGTGATAGCAGAAAAAATCCCTGATATACGTTTATCAACAAAGGTGATTCAAGTTAAACGATCAGCAACGTCAATTAAAATAATAGATGAGAAATCTAATTGTGAAGAATATGATCATGTAATATTTGCAACACATGCAGATCAAACTTTAAAAATACTAGGCGATGAGGCAACTGATGACGAAGTTGATGTTTTGGGCGGTGTAAAATTTAATAAAAATAAAGCTGTTTTACATTGTGATTTAGAGGTAACAACAACAACATTATCATCGTAAACTAACTAACTCGATAGTCAATAACAATAATTATTTATTTTTAGTTTATGCCAAAAAGAAGATTGGCATTTTCTTCTTGGAATTATCTTACCAAATCCACAGGAAATTCTAATATTAATGAAGTGTCATTGTATGTAAAATATGTAAATTCTAGATTTATAGTGATGGTCGATCAATTGACATTGATATTTTAATTATTTTCTTCTTCATTATTATTAGAACTTATTCAATGAATATTTTACAGTCTATTGATGAGAAAATTTATGGGCCTGTATTGGTGACATTGAATCCATTGGATGAAATAGATCCTAGCAAAGTTCACGGTGAATGGCATTATGAACACCCACAATATTCACCTGAAACAATCAAATCCCAACAAAAACTTTACAAAATACAAAATCAACCAAACCTACATACAACTTTTGCAGGAGCATGGACTAATTATGGATTTCATGAAGATGGGTTCACATCAGGATTAAAAATTGCTAAAGAACATTTTGGTGTTGAGTGCCCATTTGAAATTATTGATGCAACCTATATTAGAGGTAAAAGAGCCAAATTGAGTTTTATTGGCAAATTACAAAAACATTCATGGATTGGATTTGAATTATTTATTTCATTTTTATGCCATTTGATTAATTTTTTTTGTATTTTAATGGTTATGTTAATTGAAAGTTTAGAGCAATTATGTTATAATATTAGCCATGATAAACTTAATAATAATAATATTAAGGAAGATTAAAAAATAAAATATCTAGTATTTAAAATATTTATTTAAGAATTTGCAGTTTCAAGTAAATTCAATTTCCGTATTCTCAAACTGCTCTCATTAATTTCTGCATCATAAAGATCCCGTAATAAATTGTTACATTCTGTCAATTCTTGAAACTCTTTTTTGATATCATTACATAGATTTTGAATAGTGTCAGCAATATTTTGTACCTAAAAGAAAAAAAACCCATAAGTATTGAAATTCTCAAGATATATATAAACATCAATGTATAAATATTAATTACCAATAATGATGATTCTGACATATTTGAAGTTTGTGGTGATAATAATTCAGATGCTACATTTAGACAATCATCTATTTCTTTTGTCAATTCAGCTAAATTATCACATGTAAATATTGTGAAAATAATATTATTATCTTCTCTCTCTGCCATTCTTTCATCAATTTAATTTCCAAAGTAAATAAAGTTAAAAAATATTTTACCCAAATCTACTGTTAATATATTAATTATTGGCATCGCTGTTATGGTTTTAGACAATGATGACACAAACTCGACATAATTTGGTTTAAAATTTTCCAAATATTGAATAATACTTGTCAATATATTTTTCTATCAATTAACAAAAAATGCATATTAACAATTGAAATAATTATATGATTTATTATATAAAAAGATTTAATATATATTTTAAACCTGAAATTCTAAAGTTTCATTTATATTAATAAGATCTTTTTCCAATTCAAACTTTCTCAAACTATTTATTAACCCAACTCTCTTTTCATATAGAACCTTCCAGGCTTGCAACAATTGTGATTCAACAGATAATTTTTGATTTTCAAATGCAAATTCATTATTTACATTCAAATAACACCATTGTATCAATCTTGCATTTAACATCATTAATTCGTCTTCATTTTTATTTATAGCAACAATTTTGGTGATTGTAGATTTAGTTGGTGATGATGATTCTTGGTTTCTGAGAAATAAATACAAATACACTTTAATCAAGTTGTCAAATATTAAAATAACCCATCGAATATAATACCTACACATCGATTTTCCTATGTTTAATTACGTTGACAATATTTTTTTCTTCGCTTCGCTTTCTTCTGCAACTGTTCATTTTATGAGCATAGCTAAAAATCCCATTTATGTCTATTTGCTTATGTCGATCAAATTAATTCATAACTAACTAAAAAGATCGACAAATTATTATTATAAAACGACGCGACATCATGCACCTAAAGCAAGATAATTAATTCTATTAATATTAATATTTTTCTTTTCAGGGCAAATGGTTATATTTCCAGGGTAGAAACTAGAGGTTGGCACTGTTAACCGTTTAACAAGAACTTAAACGGTTAACATTAATATTAATAATATTATGTTATTTAATTTTGATAGTGACCGATTTACCCCACCCTTAATATTAAAGATGGCCAATTATTTTGGAAGTGTTGGCTGACCAATCGTTACTATAAGCAATTAATTGATTATAGATGATCTGTACCATAGATATTTATTTATGTTAGTATTATATGAATGCAGTAAAGGAAAAAGTGTTTGTCCAATAATTGTGTTGTTGACACAATCAAAAAAAGTCAAATAGAGATTAATTTTGTATTTGATGATAAACAAAATTGTATTAAAAACACTGCATATACAAGATTATCTATTATGATACAGACTCGCTTAGTATTAAAAATTTCAATCAAGGATTCCAAATGTTTTTGAAAGACTGTAGGGTAGATACAATTGATGTAATGTGGAATGTTCGAGGAATTGTTCATCCTTCTTTAAGATTTTTTTTAAAAAAGGAGGCAAACTCTTCACTTACAAATTGAATTGAATTTTTTATTACTTCTTTTTTAGATTCTGCAGAAGTGTTTTTGCTGATTGCCTTTTCATTGATTATTTTCATGAACTCTTTTTTGAGCTAGATAGTTATTTTCCACCACAATGAACATCCACTGTTGATTTACGACTCCATTCTATAGAAGAAGGGTCACAATAATTACAGAATAATTCACATTAAAATCACCAGGATTTTCTTTTTACTACCCTAAAGAAAATTATTTCGCAAGTTTTTACTTGAAGACAAAAATAATTATTTGTATTTTTCTCACCAAAAAAATCTATACAACCTATGCAGACATGTTTAACTTTCAGATGTTTTTTGAATACAAACAAATGATTTATTAACGTTATTAGTTAACGAATTAATTAACAAATTCAATTAAAAAATGTTTCACAAAATTGATCGCGTTGTATTATCCTGATCATCATGCCAAAATTTTTTAAATGAAAAAACATTTTCCCACCACTAAACAATTCAGAATTAATTCATTATTGCCAAAGGAATCAAAGAAGACGCACAATAAGTTGGAATTAATTTCCTTGTTGTTAAACAACATGTCTTTTTTGAAAATGTGAAGAAATCACTTTCCCCGCTACTAAATAACGCAGCAATTTAGAATAATTCATCATTGCCAAAGGAATCAATCAAGCTTTTTTCGAAGACTTTTTCTAATTTCTTATTGTTAATATTTAAACAATCATGCCTTTTTTTGAAAATGTGAAAAAACGTAACGATTCGAATTATTAATAATTCATATTTTTTTAATTCTCGATTAAAAAATTCTATATAGGGCGGTTTTATAAGAATATAAAAGGTTAGAGGCTATGAGTATTGATGGGTTAAAACTAACATTAATTTTTAGAAATAAAACAAAAAATTCCATATTAATATTAAAATCTTGTTTACATATAAATGATAGCAATCTTAGTTCATGATTCATTTATGATACTATTTTTTTAAGTTAAGTGTGGTTTTTTGAATCATCATCCTTGCTTTTGGGTAATAGTAATAATAAGTGGATTACATATTAATATGAAAATAGTTTATAACTCAAATTTTTAAAAGTAAACTGATATAAACAAAGCTTAGGTCTTTAGCTTTAATTCTGTCAGTTTACTTTTTTCAAAATTTTTTTCTTTGGGGTATAACCTCTAAGAGTCAGGTGATAAAATTGGTGGTTATAATAAGAAAAAAATTTTATAGACTTGAATGTGTAATGTTATAAAATTTTTGTAATGTTTTTTTTTATGGATGATTATGATGTATCTAATGTATCAATCAAAGTTGGGACATGTGCAAACAACCTAATAGTATTATGTGGAGGTTATTGAATTGTTAAAAATAAAAATGGATGGGAGACATTATAAAGCCATAAATATCATTAACAATTTTGATCCCTGAAATTTCTTTGTGGCATAATGTTCACTTTCTCATTAAATAGAGAATTTTAATCAATGCACTTTCACAACTAGAGAAAACAGGTATTATATAATATATAGTATTTGGTTGATTAAATAAAATTTATTATTTAACCAATTAATTGACTGACTATATATATTATAATATATGTAAGCATTTTCAAAATCTTTTTATTTTTATTTATACATATTTATATATGTCAAGAGATTGCTTTATTATCTTTCCAAACACTTCCATCATTGTAAATTTCTTTTTTCCAAATTGGTGCTTTATCTTTCAATTGATCAATCAACCATTCAACTGCATGAATTGACTCATGCCTATGAGCGCTTGAAACAGCTATTATAACACTTGTTTCACCAACAGGTACAGTATTAACACGATGATAAATTGCCACTTTTATTAAATTCCATTTTGATCTACTTTCATCAATCATTGACAATAAAATCTTTTCTGCCATTGGAATATATGCTTCATAATCCAATTGGACAACTATTTTATCTTTTAAAAAAATTTTAATTAATAAATTGATTAATTTACTATTTATATATTTATTTATTATATTTATATTTATTTACTTGGTTATACCTTTAAAAGTATTACGAGTTGTTCCACTAAAAGTAGTAATAGCACCCGCACTGTCATCTTTTACTAAATCTACAATATCTTGAAGAATAAGAGGTTCAGGTGTAATCTTTACAAATTTATTTTCCATCACACAAGAAAAGAATTATCTAATTGTTGTAATACCTTTTTCTAAATTTGATAAAATCAACTGCTGATCTCTTTTTAAAATTTGCGATAATAGTTTTTCATAATAATAATAACAAAAAAATGCTAACTGGTGATCAGGTTATTCATAATCAATAACCCGGACATGTCCAAGGACTGTTATCAAAAAAAAAAAACTAAGAAAATTCAAATTTATTTTCTCAATCATTCATATATATTCATTCGTTAACTATAAATTTGCAAATCTATTTATTATATATAGATGCGGGAAAGTTCAAATTTATTTTCATCTCAAAGACAAGGAAATTCTCAATATATTTATCTATTATAGATGTGGGAAATTCAAATATATTCGTCCATTAACAACTCTGTTTATTATAGATTTGCTCAAAGACATGAGGAAATTCTCAATATATTAATATATTGATATTAAGGTCGTGGGCGAAACCTCCTTAGTAATTACTGAAACCACGGCAAAACTAGATTAAAAATCCTGTTGAAACTATGCCAAAATGGCGAAACCTCAAAATGCGAAACTCTGCCGAAACTCTAATAAACAATTAATGTATAACCCTGCTGATTGATTTCTGGAGGAGTTTCGGCAAGCAACCTTAATTGATATACTTAACAATCATATAATATAGAGTTTATATAATACATATCTTGATTACCACATACTATACAAGGACCGAAATTTTTTCAACCTTTATTCATTTTATTAATGATAAATGATAGAAATTATTATCTATTTAACGAAAGAATATGATGAATTTAATTTAGTGCGACGTATTTAACTTTAAAAAGGAGATTTTTTTCATATAGAATTGTTTAAAAAAGGAATTTTTCGAAAAAAAAAAAGTGTTACGAAAATGATTGCGTTGTGTATAAATATATAAATATATATATATTGATATAGTAGTTAAAGTTAACGTTAAGTTAAGCGCTGCCAAAAAGTTTTTTAAACGGATGGAAGAAAAGATGTCGGACCAATAAAAAAAGCTTAAGCTGACTATGAATTACATCCCTTCCGTCCCTTTGATTTATATAATGATAGATAAACTTATATTTAAATAATTAAAGCCACCGTTAAATGTTTCAACATTTTAATTAATTTATAAAAATAAACTTCTTAAATAGAATTAAACTTTAGTTTAAGAAATGCATTCTAAATTCGAGTAATAAAAATGAAGGAATGTTAATTGATCAAATTCATAATATTCTTTCGTTAAAAAAAAACAGATTATCTATTTTTTTATCTATGTGCTTCATTAAGACCATCTCTTCCACTGACAATGTAATTAGTGGAAGCCAAAAAATTGAATCAAATTGCTGGCCGTTTGTGCCATATATAAAACAAGCCCAACCGCGTTGTTGAGAACATATTTTCTGAAGGACAAATATACATTGCAATGAGCCGAGCTCCTTCGTTAAAAAACTTGAATATTCTCAGTTTTGACTCTGCTCAATTAAAGGTCTCTAGAGCAGCATTAGAAGAATATAAAAGATTGGGAAAGGGTTAATACTGAAGGGTTGCAAATTTGATAAGACGGTAAAAAAAAATTAATTTATCGTGTTATGGAACAAATCAATCTTTTCTACTCGCCACTGCATTTGTAAATTTTTTTTTTTGCAATATATATTTTTTAAAAAAAAAGCAAGCTATTTAATATTAATATTTAGTGTTAATTGACGTTTACTGCTCCTAAGAAGAAAAACAATCCGTCGTTTTGTCCTGTTTTTGTTTTATTATTATTAATATTGATATTAAAATACAAATAAATTCGTGTACGTGCCTCTGCTCATTCATTGTGACGTTTAACTTAAAATCTGTTTTATCATTGATTAGATTGCAAATATCACGATCACACAAATTATTTTCATTCTAAAAAAGAATAATGATAATCTGTGTATGATTATCAGATTGAATAATCTCGCCTTGAAAAAAATCGTATAAATAAAATCTTCAAAATAATTTTACAATAAAATTGCTAATAATTTAATTAATCAATAAATAATAAAATAAATAACAAATAATAATAAAAATGACAAAAGGACGTGTACTTCTTGCATACTCTGGTGGTTTGGATACTTCATGTATTCTTGTTTGGCTTATTGAACAAGGTTATGAGGTTCTCGCTTATTTAGCCAACGTTGGTCAAGATGAAGATTTTGACGCAGCTAGAGAAAAAGCTTTAAAAATCGGCGCAACCAAAGTTTTTATTGAAGTATGAAATTGTATTATTTATTATTATGGACCTATATATATATGTGACAATTAATTAATTGATTTGAATGTTTTTAGGATTTGAGAAGTGTTTTTATCGACGAATTTATTTTCCCTGCCATTCAAGCAAATGCAGTATATGAGGTAAAATTCAACTTGATTTTTAAAAAATCCATTATATATATTGCAAATTGATTAATGCTCAAATTATTTTTTGCTTATTAGAATATCTATTTGTTGGGCACTTCACTTGCTCGTCCACCAATTGCTCGTCGTCACGTAAACAATCTACTTTTTTAATTTTATTTTTATTAAACACGATTGATGATATTTAATTTTTTGTTTGGCTATTAGATTGAACTTGCAATTCAAGAAGGTTGCCAATATGTTTCTCATGGATGTACAGGAAAAGGAAATGACCAAGTTCGTTTTGAATTAGGATATTATGCTTTAAACCCTGATATCAAGGTTATTGCTCCATGGAGAATGCCAGGTTAATAATAATTATTAAAGTTTTAGATGAAATTTAAGTATTTAGTTATTTCAACAGCAACTAACAAGGAAGTTCTGTTTTTAGAATTCTATGAAAAATTTCCTGGTCGTCAAGCACTTCTTGCTTATGCAGCTAAAAAAAATATACCTGTTGTTCAAACAGCTGCAAAATCATATTCAGAAGATGGTAATTTGTACCATATCTCTCATGAAAGTAGGTCCTTCGCCTTTATCATTTTGTTGAATATATATATATATATATATAATTTTTATCAACATATTCAAATTGTTAACGTTAACTAAATGCATTTATATTTATATTGTTTTCAGGTGGTTTACTTGAAGACCCTGGATGCACCCCACCAAAAGATATGTGGAGTATGACTGTTGATCCAGAGGAAGCTCCTAATACACCTGAACATATTGTAAGATGATTTAAGATGATTTAAATATTTTCTTTTATGCGTTTTAAATATGTATATATATAATTTATATTAATCAATATAATTATATACATATTTATAGACTATTTATTTTGAAAAAGGGAACCCTGTTAAAGTTGTTAATCATAATGACAAAACAGAGAAAAGCAATTCGCTAGATTTATTTACATATTTAAACAAATTGGCTGGTTGTCATGGCATTGGTCGTGTCGATATGGTTGAGTCAAGATTTATAGGATTGAAATCTCGTGGATGTTATGAATCACCGGCGGCCACAGTATTGCGTGCTGCACATTTGGATCTTGAGGGAATTACACTTGATGGGCAAGTTCGTCATCTTAAAGAAGTAAATCTTAGTATTCCTTATGGCAGAGTTCTTTATAATGGCCTTTACTTTTCACCTGAACGTGAATTCCTTTCACATTCACTTGAATTCACACAACGTAATGTCAATGGTGAAGTTAAAATCAAACTATATAAAGGTAATGTCATCATTGAAGGCCGCAAAGCCTATGGGGTAGGATCTAAACTTTATGATATGAGAGAAAGCTCAATGGATGAACATGGTGGATTGACACCTACTGATGCTGGTGGTTTCATTAATACACATGCTATTAGACTTAGAAAATGGGTACCAGCTGATAAACAATAATATTTATAGAACTATTTTTCTAAAAATATTACTATATAGCGCAATTATTTATTAATTAATGTAAATATATATTTTATAATCTTTATTCCATTTTTATTTAAAAAATTATTATTTAATAAATTTGATTATTGTTATGACCAACTTCAACAGCCGCAGTGTATTAATGAAATTATTCGCATTTCATTCCCAATACACAACAAGTAGTACATTAATATTTCTATTATGGCCTCTATATAATTGACTCTGGCATGAGCTGAAAGGTAACTCATCGAACCCAGTAATATTATTTACAACTTTCAACATTATTGGATGATTTGGTATTAATGATGATTTCAAGGAATTTTGTAACTTTTAGCATTTTGGAATCATAGAATCGATGAGTAAAGAAATCAGTAAACGTTTGATAAACTTGCCTTGGATTTTTATGTTTTTAATAATTTGTAAATTGTTTTCTCGCGATAACCTCGTAAATGGACGTTTCTTTTTATAAATTCAGAATCAAACAATTAATTGTCGTATTGATTAAAAGAGTATATACGAAATTTGGAAATTCTAAACAATCTTGTTACGCGGTTTTTCACATACAACATCTGCGGGCCGTGATCTTGGTAATGGTGTGGTGGTGTGTTTTGATTTCTAAACGAGAATCTTGCTCCAAGTAATGCTGGTGGCATAACCAACGTCCTGTTTAGAAAAATACTGCATTTTTACATCATAGCCAAGGTTTCTCGGATTAAAAATCTTTTTTTTTTTTTGTATCCAAAGTTATAGAAATGATCACATACTCGATGTCCAAAATTCAACTCAAAATGATGTGCGGCACCAGCTACAGTATTGAAAATGTTGTCCCAACAGTGAAACATGGTGGCGGAGGCATAATGGTATGGGGGCGTTTTTCGGGAAAAGGGCTAGGTCCACTAATAAAAGTAGATGGAAAAAATGAATAGTCGTAACTATATAGAAATACTAGAATTGCATGTTTATAATAAATTTAATGGAAGAGGGTATTTGTTTCAAGATGATAGTGACATAAGAATCTGTTAAACAATCTTCACCTCGACTATATGCAATGGCAAAACTTACCTCAAACATCCTCAGTTCAGGAATCCAATTAAGAATTTTGTAATTGCGGAGACAGTTATAAAAGTTCGCCCAAATCCAAAACTGAAAAAAGCACTTATGGTCTATAAAATAAATTTTCACACATACTGACCTTTACAGACGAAAAGTAAGTATAACAAACTTTGTCCACAACAATGGTCAAAAAGAGTACGGTTGATAATCAAGTCCCTTTAGCCATACACCTATAAAACATACTTCTTAGGCTTTGTCAACCTATGAAATATGCTTTTTCGGATTCTCACCACCTACAAAACGTGTATTGCACGCGTTTTTTCGGCTTCTTGGCACCGGCCCCGTGCACCTCAAAACATAAATGTTTCTCAGATTCTCACCACCTACCAAAACACAATAAGTGTTTCTCGGTTTCTCGGCTTCTCGGCAGATCTAGATCTAAGGGAATATTAAAAATATTTCCTTCGACTTCGATCAGGGAAACTTGTATTATCAAGCATAGTAGACGCTGTTGCAGATCACAAAAACAACTATTTCATTGCCAAATTTTTGTCGATCTTATTCCAAATTATCTAATTCTGATTGGGTTTAAATAAAAAATCACAGCATTAAAAAAAATTTCATATATTTCATATACAAAAATCTCTAATTGTTACACGATATACCACTTAATATTATACTTGAATCTTAAGTTTTATATAGCAATTTTAAGAATCCAACGGTCCCTACATATTAATATAAAATATTTTATAAGAAAGTCCCTTTGAAACTTTGTATATTGAAACTTTGGGATTCTTATTATTTTATAAGATTCGTATAAGTAGTAGTTTTTAGGCAATTAGTAATCTGCGAAAAATTTGCGCCAAATTCTATTATGAAATTTTTGCAATTGTCTCACGTATCACAAATCAAGGTTTGGCAAATTATATGATCTGCGATCTGCAGTTCAAAAAATTTTTTTTACAGATAATAATGAATGAGGGAATAATTTATTATCATCATCAAGAATTTCAAGTGAGTAATAAATTTAAGTTTTGCTTTATTTTTTTTGTTATATAATATATGATGATAACAATTCACGACGGTCTTCTTAAACATGTTAAAGATTAAAAATGCCACTGGCAATTTATCTGATTTGATTAATTGATTGATTATATCATAATTTTCTTTTAAAAGAAAAAATTGTATTAACAATGTTATATATTATAATTTAGGGACTCGGTGCAATTTTAATCCATGACTTCTAATAATAATTTATTGCTGGGTTACAATTTCTTCACATGGAGGAAATTCAATAGAAACGAATAAAGTGAAGCATAATAAATGTCTTATTTTTTGTGAGATAAAAACTATCTTATTTAAATCTCGAGAAAGAACGATTGCTCATCTGAAAAGAGAAAACATTGTCCTAAAGGAAAAGTCAATGACCAATAAAAACCATCGTAAGTAAATATAAAAGAAACTGTTTTTTTATCTTTATCTTTTTTTATTTTAAGTATGTGGACCAACTAAGAGAATGTTGGATTGATATTAATTAGAACGATACTAGGTCAAGACCTAGATGCTCAACTAATAAAAAATTATCTGGCTAAAAAACATTCACAGATCAGTATAATCAATTCGAGAAGAAATTAACAAATAATAGTTATTATTTTTATCATTTAGATGCTACTTTATTTAGCTGTCATTTTATTACGTTATTGTTAATCATATAGTAGAAAATTTTATTTCAGGCGACTTTTAGTGATTTTTTTTTAGTTAAACAATTTTTTTTTTTGTTAGCAACAACACCTTGCAATTGTTTATTTAATACATGATATGTTGTTATTTCAAATAATAAAAATAAACTAGCTACAAAGACATAATCGTCTGTTGGATGATGGCGTTAAATATTATTTATTAATTATCAAATTTACTAGTGTATATTAATATAATAAATAATATAATAAAAGTTACATGATATAATTTTGAAAGATTAACTCGAATGTATGTTATAACAAGATTTTTTTTCTAAGTATATTTTTATTCATTGAATTGATTTTTTTAATCACTTTCACTTCCGCTTTCACTGTATCTTCTTTCCTTTTCCTTTTCCTTTTCCTTTTCCTTTTCCTTTTCCTTTTCCTTTTCCTTTTCCTTTTCACTGTCACTGTCACTTTCGCTGTCACTGTAACTGTCTCTTTCTTTTTCCTTTCCCTTTTCACTATCTCTACCTCTGTCTCTTTCCTTTTCTCTTTCGCTATATCTGTCCCTTCCTCTGTCTCTATTCCTATCCTTTTCCCCATCCCTACCCCTATCCCTATCCCTCTCCCTATACCTATCTCTTTCTCTTTCTCTGTCTCTGTCCCTGTCTCTTTCCCTATCTCTTGCTCTATCTCTCTCACGCTCTCTTTCTTTGTATCGTTTCCATTCCTTTTCTCTGTCACTATCGAGATCTATTTCTCTGTCTCTATACCTGTCCCTGTCCCTGTCCCTATCTCTCTCCCTCTCCCTGTCTCTGTCTCTGTCCCTGTCCCTATCTCTGTCTCTATATCTGTCTCTGTCTCTTTCCCTATATCTTTCCCTGTCCCGGTCCCTGTCCCGGTCCCTGTCCCGGTCTCTGTCCCGGTCTCTGTCCCAGTCTCTGTCCCGATCCCTGTCCCTATCCCTGTCCTTGTCTCTGTCTCTGTCTATATCTCTTTCTTTGTGTCTTTCTTTGAATATATCCTTTTCTTTATCGCCATCTCTTTCCAACTCTCTTTCCTCATGCTTATCTCTTCGTAATTGTGTAGAATAGTCATGATTTCTTTTGTCGTCCCGTTCACGCTCGCTTTTTTCAAGTCTTTTTTGTCGTTCATCTCTTATTTTTTTGCGCTCTTCTATTTCTAATTCTTTTTGTTTAATACGTTCAAGTTTTTTTTGTTCTTGTAATTCTTTATCAAAGGCGGCGCCTTCAATATAAGTACCCGAGTCTATCCCCAAAGCCTTCATGATTTTTTCATTTTCAGCAGCTTTTGCTTGTGTAAGGTGATGAGTTTGATATTCTTGTAAACTGGTGTAAAAGTATTTGGAAAATCAATTAAATGAAATTATTTATTACACAAAAAATGTTCTGATTATTTACAGTTTAAAAAGAAAGAAAATTTACGAAACCTACGTTTTATTATCTTCAACAATATCAATTGAAGAAAGCAAAGCTTGACGATGCGACTCGACTTTTTTATCTATCTCATCTTCATCAATCTCACTAAATATATATATGAGCATCATAATTATTGAGGTGAAATTAAATTATATGCGCTTAAAAATAAACTTTTTACGATTCGTACCCTTTACTTTCAAGTTCATCTCTGAAAGACAAACATTTTATTTCAATCTGTCGTTTTTTTTCATGTTCAAGAATCTCTTGATTTGGTTTTCTGTGAATAAGTGAGCTTGGTTTATTTTTACCCTCTTCTAATGACTCGTAGTGAATAGGATCTTTATGAGTTCTGACAAAAGAAAGGTTACGAACTACATAGCCATTTGTCCCTGAGCCACGAGGCGTTGTAAGTCCTACGTTCCCATACATCGTGAGGACTTATATCTAATAATATATATATAACAATGAAAATGGTTAAATCTCTATAATGTAATGCTTAAAAAAAGAATCAAATTATTAAAAAAATCATATTGTAATATAATTTGACCTTTTCTTGTTCAATATCACTGATTGTGATTAGGGATTTTTAAACTTGGTATGAATAATAATAAAGAAAGATGGGTATATTAATATTTTTTAATTATGGGTGATCAGTGCTACAGTCATATATATGTATGTCCTACCACAAATTTTTCAACTCTTAAAAAATTTAAATTTTGAAAAAACCTGTGGCTTGCCAAAACTCCTATTGTAAAGTAAAAAAAAAATTGCAGTAAATTCTTTTTTTTTGGAATTGTGCAATTCTAACAATTTGTGATCGATTTTCTCCCAAGTTTTATTTTGCTTCTTTACTTGGTACAGTATAATAATGAAACCAAGATTCCACTCTTTTTTTCTTCATTTTTGTCATTTAAAAAATGAGTTATCCACTTTTTGCAAACTTTACTAACATTTCAATTCATTATGTAAGATATCATGTATTTTTTTTTTTAGAAATTCCTATAGTTTCTTTGGCTCTTATTGAAATGTGAGAGTCTTCTTGTGTTAGGTTATCAATTTCTGTTTCTCGATGATGCCCAAATCGATCAATTTTTCTTCTCCACTTTCAAATACCTCAATCCAACGATAAATGGTTGTCAGCAACCTGCAATTCTTTATGAACTTGGAGTTTTTCTATGACAAAAAACATCATACTTTGGTATTCGCGTTTGGAATTTTCCTTATAGAAAAGTTTAGATTTAAACCTTTGATGTCAAGTTAATATTAAATTAATGATGTCCCGTTAATTACAGATCACATGATTGACACCACAAGTTGGGGGACATGTATTAATTAGAATTTGTGGCTAAAAATCATTCGTTTTTATCGTAATTAAAGTTTCATTTTATTTTTCCATTTTTAAAAAATGGTTTTGAAACATTGAAAATTTTTTTTCAACATTCAAAGAATAAAGTTCATTTACTCTTTAACATTCAAGAAACGATTCAAAAAAATGGTTGGAAAATTTCCGGTGGAACTTTTAGATGAACTATTCAAACTTATTAAAGAAGATTACGAAACCCTTTATTCATGTAGCTTAGTTAGCAAATCGTGGAGTAAAGTTTTTATTCCAACTTTATGGAAAGATCCATTCCATTGTAATGATAGCATGGAGATATTGATTAATTGTTTGTTAGTAGAAGACGATGACTTTTTCACAAAAAAAAATATTTCATTGCCATTTTCTTTGCTCAAACAACCTCCTTTATTTAACTACGCAAAATTTGCCACTACTTTAAATCTAAGTATGTCCGAATATCTTAATAAGTTGATGTATCTCAAGTATAAAAATGAATCTTTAAGAGATAGATTAGTAAAGTTTATCATAAGTCATTCGTCTATTGAATACCTCAATACATCTTTTCTTAAAGCTAAATTAATAACTGAACATCCTGATTTTCGCGATTGCTTTCAGAATCTTAAAGAATTTGAAACTAGTGACGATTACAGTCCTAATTTCTTTATCGCATTATCGAAGATATGCGATAATATTCAAACGTTTAGAATACATTTTAATAGTGTTAATAAAGATATTAGCGGAATAGCACATTTAATAAAAAGTCAAAAACAAGTCAAAAAAGTACATTTTTATTTATCTAGGTCAAATGTATTTTGGAAATTGGGTCATTTAAAAAACGCAATATTGAGTCATTCTGATTCAATAGTTGAATACCATAGCACTGGATTTAGTCATGTGGATTTAGCAATATTAGAATTTAAAAATTTGAAGACGTTACATTTGGAAAATAGTAAAGTGGATGAAATCGATGTACCAGAAGAAATTAAATCTGCTTCATTCCCAAATATTCGGGAGGTTACAGTGAAAAATTTTGATGGGGAGTTGTTAAATAGCATGACAACTTTTATTGATATCAATGGATATGGACTCAAATCTCTGGAGATTGGTGGGGCTCCAAGTGATCATGATGATCTGTTGTTGCTTCTTTCTTCAATTGGAAAATGTTGTAGAAACTTGGAGGATTTAACAGTTTTTTATGCAAATCATTTGCATCAAGAATTAATTAAAATATTTGATAATTGTATTTATTTAAAACAAATCTATCTGAGATTAATTTATGGTATTCTGATCGAAGCTGATAAAATAATCGATGCATTGGATCAAACACTGCCAAAACATTTGAGAGTGATTAAATTTGGAAATAATATTAATATTTCTGATCAATCATTGGATAATTTAAGCAAAAAGTGGTTAGGTCCCAAGCCTATCCTATTAAGTTATAGTAATTATAAACAAAACGCTATAGGAAAATCTCCCTTCCTCAAGCTACTTAAATATAAAGGTTTAGGATTTTTGAAATATGAAGTTACAGATGAGAAACCCATCGTTGATGATGGTTATTATGATTATTCTGATTATTCTGATTGTTCTGGTTAATGTCGTGTTAACATTGATCAGGATAATGAGAATTCCTTTAATCTATTTTTGCTATAGAAGTTCATTTTTTTTTGTATTTATTTACAAATAATTTTAAAAACACAACACAGCTATATGCAAAATAAAATTTGTAATATATTAAATTATAAATAATAAAAAATTATGGTGTTGTCACGCCTGACATTGACATTCATTTATATAAAATTTTCGTAAATAAATAAAGATATATTATTATAAATAAAAATATTAAATAATATTATTTTGGTTTTATTAAAAAAAAAAAATATTCTTATTCAAAATATAAAAACATAAAAACCATTTATTCACCATTCTCACTTGAAGTAGGTGAATATAAAAATTGCTGATCATCCAAGTTTTCATTGTTTTGATTGTTGTCAAATGTTGAGATTTTAAGAAGATTGGTTGATTTATTATTGTTTTCATTGTCATTACTCGTACTGTTTCTGACATTCATGTGATCACCTGTTTGGCGTTGATATTGTTTAATAGGAGATATAACAAGATGTGCTTTATGTATCTGGAATAACAATAATCAATTATATATATATATATATATCTGAAAAATTAACAAAAATAACAAACAAAATACTATCAATACAAACCCTTCTTGCAAGCCTTCCAACATTTCCATCAATAGCAACAATTTCCCAAGCAAAGTCAATACCAAAGATCATCTTAATTCCATATACAATG